AATAGAGCTTCCATTTGTTTTTATTGGTGATGAAGCATTTGCTTTGCGCTCAGATTTCCTGAAACCATACAGTCAGAAACAACTAAACCACGATCGAAAAATTTTTAACTATCGCCTATCTCGAGCACGGCGTATTGTAGAAAATACATTTGGCATCCTGGTTGCTAGATTTCGTATATTTCATACATCCATTTCTGTTAATTTGCAGCACGTTGATAAGATTGTTATGGCATGTTGTATTCTACACAATTTAAAAAAAAAAATTCATTGACATATACCACAGTTGACTGTTTTGATAATGAAGATATTGTAGGAGCAAATTTATATTTTGGGCTTAGAGCTGACAATCTAGCCGGACTTCAGAGTGGGCCTAACAGACACGCCAGTAATGCTGCTAAAGCTGTTCGAGAAAACTTTCTACACTATTTTAATCAAGAGGGTTCTGTTTCGTGGCAAGAAGGTATGATATAGTATGTTAATAACGGGGATATAGTATGTCCCAAAAAGTTGGCAACATGGAATTTTCTTTTATTAAGAATTGTATTATTAATAATAGTATGTATAAATTTAGTGATGGTGAATGTGGTGATTTTAGATCAGTGACCGTGATTTTTCGATAACTGCTGATATTGAATATGTTTAATGTAACTAGATTGTTCACTTATTTATAGTATAAATTTATACTACTAAATAACAAAGTAATCCATTTAAACTTTACAAAACTTTCTTGATAAAGCTTCATCTGTAAATAAAACTAAAAATAACTAAAATTTCAAGTAAATTTTTTGTATAATATACTTTTAAGAATGTTTTTATGAAAGAAAAAAATATTCAATACGTTTGCAATAACACATCTTGTACATATTTCACAGCTCGTAATATTCACTGTAAATCCCAGATGATAATAATAGCTGTTCCTCAAATTGCAATTACCGAGAATATCGTAATATTTATTAAATAAATACGTTTTGTGAGACAGCGACAGTGAAATTGATATCTGATACTGATATAAATATCTGATCATTAATCACCGTTATCGAAGTTAGTCAGGATCCACAGTTATCATTGATTTATAAATCACCCATCGTTCCATCTAATAATATGTAATTAATAATTAGGTAATTAATTGTAATTAATAATAAAGAAAAGAAAATTTACTTACATCTATAGAAACTTTGTATTCTTCAGTCATATTTGACAAGGTAGTAGGGACGAGGTGCATCTTGATCTTGAACAAATAGCAGCAAATTGTAATACCACAATTTAGGTATATATACCTCTTCCGAGCCCATACCGGATATTTTTTTATTTACTTTTTGACATTCTTTGCGGAAGCTTCCTCGCATTGTATTGATTTTTTTCGCTACACTTTCTTTAGATGCATCGGGTTCGACTTCCCTCATTTTCTTAATTAGTTCTTCGTAGGCTTTATTTTTTTTTCTGACGATCACTGTATTCTTTATTTTTATTCTGCCATAAACAGGGATAACTTCTGTATAGCTCTATGAATTCCGTAATAAACTCTCTCGACATGCACCTTAAATCACTCATGGTTTTTAATTGTTTGTTTTGTCATAAAATTATAAAATGCTTAATAATATGCAACATCCAATGAACAGTCGTACAGCACTGATTGAAAATGAAACATGCACAGACTTGTTGTCCATACACTGTCGTTCTTCCCCGCGCGATGATAATTGCACACGCTAAAAATCAAGACGATCCTGATTTTGAGAGGCTTGGTTGCGCATTCCACATTTTTCGCCATACACACACACACACACACACACACACACACACACACACACACACACACACACACTTTTAACTGTACCTCGTGGCATGCACATTCAATCCTTCGCGCTTCCTTCTGAGTGAGTGGGCGCCTTTAAAGATAATAAACATTCTGAGCAAGTCACAGATCCGGAACCCTATGAAGGGATTTAAAATGAATTAGAGAATATGAGAGTAAAAACCATCCATAATAAATTCGAATATGTGGAAAGTGTTACAGATCAGAACGGTATGAAGAGGCTCAAAATGAATTAGAGAACATAGGAGTCAAAACTACTCAGAATAAATTAGAATGTGTGGAAAGCAACATTGAGCAAGTACTAAATGAACACAGTCATTTAAACAAATTTGACTCTGGGCATATTATCATTGACATAGCTGACGATATTGACATCAACAACATTAGCGAACTATTCAATACAGGGGAGGATCCATTAGTATTTGCTGATTTGGGGACAGAAGCCTAAAAATAAACGGCAGCCCACAACATGGTCATAACAAAGATGATAATCTTTCATCAACAAGCAGTGAAATAAATATTAGAACTGAATCAAACAATATAGCTAAAAATTCATTGAAACATTATTTAGTATGGCCGAAGAGTCCCTTTAGGAAAAGTAAAAAAATACTGAACGAATTCCTTTCGTACTGACTTCAGAACAATGGAAAAAGATAAATTTGGAAAAACGAGAAAAAAAAAAGAAAATCTTGAGAAGGAAAAAGAAGAACGGAAACGTAAAATAATCCAAAAGAAAGAAAAAACCCAATTGAACAAGAGTGTTTTCAAAAGAATATGTGAAGGAAAAAAGATATTGCAAAATATTACACACAAACATATTGAAGGCTAGCCCTAATGTGTCGAATAAAGATAACGCTACTTTAAGCCATAAAATATTAGTGACAACTAATATTTTATGGAGATTCCATCACATGCAGTGGACTTCTGTGCAAAAATAATATATGAGATTGGGTCTATGTCCAGAAATAGAAGTGCATTGACTGATAGAGTCTGGAAGCTAAAGTTTTCTGCTATAAGACCAATGAGAGGAAACCAAAACTAGAGGTTAGGACTTTGATTGTAGCTACATTCAAACATTCTGAAGTAGTCAGGGAAAAAGCTGGTAGTCAGTGTTAAGCATGCAGGACTATTAGCAATGAGCACTTTCATTCAGCTGATACCAATAGCGTATAACAGACCTGAGCCTCTGTGTTTATTAACACCTTTGGCAGGAGCAATTTTTGCTAGAGAGGATATACCAGCCATAGCAAGGGCACTAAATAGTACTCCTACTAAAGTGCTCACATGTATTAATGCAAGCTGCCAATCTGGGTCTCATTACTTAGAAGACTGAAGATCGCATATTGCTATAGTAGCTGCAATGGTTGCTACCAAATATCTAAAAGACAAGGATATTGCTAATAGCATTGTCTACAAAATAATAAAGCAATATAACAACAAAGTCAAAAGATTTGATGCAAATAAATTTGATATCTTTTCTGAATATGCTCATGGAGGAGTACCAGACTCCATGAATATTACCACTTTGATGAATACATTTCATTACTCTCAGCTAAGTCCAGTTATACTGTTTTATTTACCTTTTCATCTGAGGGACGGGTGACCCCCATTTTATTATCTATCCATACAAAAGGCTGCCTGACCATATTGCTGATTAAGTGCCTGACGAGTGGAGTGTTGGTACAAGTCGAAATGGATAAATGAAAACAGCTATTTTTAGGAATATATTGGAAACGTTTTTCATCCTTACCTAGTGAAACAAAACACAAAATTTTCCGTTATTTTGTTTGTGAACGATCACAGTTCTCACATTTCGTATCAATTGAGTGATTTGGGTGCTCAGTTACAAATTATTTTAATTTGTCTTTATGGAAATTCAACCCGAATTCTACAACCGGCCGACGTTTTTGTATTTAAGCCACATAAATCATATTGGAAAAAAGTTGTTATGGAATGGAGGGGAAAACATAGCGCCGAAGCAATTACACAAGACAAAGTGCAAGTATTTTAAAAACAGTGATTGATGTTTATTTGAAACCAGAGATAATAAAAAATGGCTTTGTAGCAACGGGTTTATGTCCATGGAATCAAGACGCCATAGATTATACAAAATGCATTGGAAAAAACTTGATTTCTTCTTCTACTTCTCAAGATTTAAAAATAAACGACCTACCTTATGAAAAATTTAAAGAAATTGTAGGACCAACACTTTTTGAAAATTTTAAAAACAAAAAAAATTACAAACAATGGGACCGAAGAATTTTGGATTCTGCATAAACAATTCAACAAAGTTTAAGTTACCAGTTAAAGAGAGTGCTACCAAAAGAAGTTGTGGAGGAAAAAAGACATTGAAAAACAATACAATCAAAAAAATATTCAAGGCTAGCTCTGGTGTGTTGAATAAAGCTAGTCAAATTTAATCCGATTTATCCCAGAGATGCCATATGACAACAGGTTACACTTATATACCGAAATAATTTTTTCCGGGTTTCCTAAAATTAAAAATTGAAAGTGGCAACATTGTCACGCTTCTCGATGTTCTCACTAACCACATGATTGACGCCAGTTCAGTGTTCCCAGATCTACTGAAAAATCAGTAGATCTACTGATTTAGGGTCTCATCTACTGATCTACTGATTTCGTCCTTAAATCTACTGAAAAATGATTAAGTTACGTAAAATATATAAAAATTTAAATAAAAAAACTTTTGTGTAAAACTAGTTTCTGTTATGAATAAAATAAATCAACCTATTTCTTTTTTATGAATTAGCCGCCATCTAGTGCTAATATATCACTGCTGCCGGCCCTTACAGGTTACAGATTTTTTAGATTTGCACTGCTCTCTGACAGATGGCACTTTAGTAAGCTGGTTCTGTGTAATTTTATACTCTCTGGGATTTCCATATAATAATATGTGGGAATTACTCAATGTTTGTGAGATTCGATTCCAATATTTCTAATAATTATTTAGGTGGTTGATTTTAGCTTACATAATAATTAAGCAATAGAAATACTCAATGTTTGTGAGATTCGATTCCAATATTTCTAATAATTATTTAGGTGGTTGATTTTAGCTTACATAATAATTAAGCAATAGAAAGAAATATTTATTAATTATTGGTGTGTGAGTTTGGTGAACTGATTTGCTATTATTTGGTGAAGTTTATTGAGCTGCAATTAAAATAACATGAGGTAAAATTATTTTCTTATTATTATTGGTTAGAAATAAAATAAGTCATTTCATTTTAGGAGAGAAAGTGAATCGCAATCGGATGATTCTGGAAACGAAAGACCCTCCGGAAGCAAAAAAATTAAATATTCGCGAAAATTTAACAAAAAGTGGCTAAAGAATCCCGATTTTAGTAGTTGGTTAGAGCAGGGGGAAGAAACTGGTGCGTACTGTAAAGCTTGCAAGAAAAATATATCGGTTAAAACAACGGGAAAACAAGCCCTTATAAGGCATAATACTAGCGAAAGTCACAAAAAAATGTTAAAATCTGTAAAAGGCCAGCAAACATTAGTATCTTTTAAAAAATTTAGCAATTTAGAGAAATCAGCAAAAATAAGTGAAATGTACCTAGCAGCGTTCGTCTCAGAACATAATTTATCCTACAACATAATGAACCATTTTGTACAACTTCTTCCCAAAATATGTCCCGATTCAGAAATAGCACGAAATGCTCCGCTATAGTAAAAAATGTAATTGGAAAAAAAACAGTTAGATAACTTGTGCACTATTTTAAAAGGCACTAAATTTTCTTTAATAGTAGATGAATCTACCGATAGAGGCTGCACAAAGCATTTATGTTTAATAGCTAGATATCGCCAAGTTGACAAGTAAGTTTAATGAAAATTATACTGTTTCTATACTTACGTGTCTATATTTCATATGATAGTTATTAAATTTAACAATAGAGATAGCCCTTTTCAAACGGATATAATAAGAATATATATATATATATATATATATATATATATATATATATAATGGATTTTATGAATTTCTGATGTTTTCGTTTTTAGGATTACTGACAGTTTTCTTGCCTTGTTACCCCTTCAAGGAGCTACAGCAGATGATCTTTACGAAAAAATAGTTCGTTTTTTCGATAATAATGGGATTCCCTGGCGAACTAATTTAATCGGTTTTGCCTCTGATGGTGCCAGTGTTGTCTCCGGAGGCGTGTCAGGCAGAAGCTGACCGCCGTGCCGGATGCATTTAGAAATTCGGAGAAATACTTGGAAATTCCAAGTGTGGGCAAATCCGAATTTCTAATTGACTCGATGTAGGGAAATTCCACTTTTACTACGTAAAACAAAGGATTTGTTGTATATAAAAGCAGACGGAATTTCTCTCATCGGTCAGTCGAGCTTGCCTCTTCTACTGTAGACCTAGTCGGTGCTATTATTGTTCCAACTAAGTTATTGTTTTATTTCTTATTTCCTGATAACCATTTATATTTTATTATTGTATATTCAGACCTTTTCAGGTTAGAATATTACTTTGACTTATATTTGTTCATATACTGATTATTTGATATTTTATTTGATTATTTTGATTGTTTATTTTTCTTGTATTTTGTATCTAAGTTGTTCTTCCGTAAGTTAAGAACACTTAGAAATATTTACCTTACTTTTTTTCTATTTTATAAATTTGATTTTGTACTTTGTGTCTAAGTAGTTCTTTCCGGTAAGTCAAAGAACTCTTAGAAATATTTCTCTGATATTTGACTTGTTAATTTTATTGTGTGCCTAAGTCATTCTTTTCCGGTAAGTCAAAAGAACACTTAGAAATATTTTCATAATCATTATTGCATTATTATTTCCGATATTTATCTAAGATATTTTCTTAATATATTTGTCTTCATTATTTTACCATTTCATGCTGAGTTGTTTCTTCCGTAAGTCAAGAAACACTTAGCAATATTTCCATATCTTTTCTGTATTTGATTTTCTTATTATAAGTTGTTGCTTCCGTAAGTCAAGAAACACTTACAAATATTTGTATTCTTATTTTACTATATTTGATTCTCTTGTTTGTTTTTTTTTTGTTCTAAGAAACGCTTAGAAATATTTCCATACATTGTTTCATATTTACATATTTCATTTATCTATATTTCTGTCTTAAGTTGTTTCTTCCGTAAGTCAAGAAACACTTAGGAATATTTCTACACTTTTCTGTTCTTTTATTCTTGTGTATTTTACTTCTCATTCTAAGTTGTCTCTTCCGTAAGTCAAGAAACAATTAGAAACATTTTCTGTGCATTGTATTTTTATATACCATTTTATTTCCTTGTTTACTAAGTTATTTCTTTCGTAAGTCAAGGAATACTTAGATTATTTTACCTGTTCTGTTTTCCATTTTTGATCTGTTATTTTGTAACTGTTCCTTGGAACCGTTACTTGTAACAGGTACTGTCGCTGTAACGGTTATTCTGTAACGGTAACAGTATCGACCCATTTCACCAGCGACAAACGAAGATGGTAAACACCCGTTCCAATTCCGGAGACAGGAAAAAGTCCGAAGAGCCGGCGATGGGTCCTACAGGCCCAAATGCCCCCTCTCGGCAACAGTGTGATGGTCGGTAGATTCAATTCATTAACAACAAAACTACAAGCACAAACACAAAACTTGTTCACACTCAAATGTATATGCCACACTTTTAGTTTATGTGCGTCAAATGCATGTTCAAAATTACCCAGGGGTGTCGAAGACTTAGTTCGCAATGTATATAATTTTTTCTCAAACAGCCCAAAACGTATTGATACCCTCAAAGAGTTTCAAACATTTACAGATGCCCCTACACATAAGATCTTACAACCTTCTCAAACAAGGTGGCTAAGTCTAGAGAGTGCTGTCAACAGAATTCTGGAGCAATATAATGCCCTTGTTTTATTTTTCACTAATGCAACTGTATCTGAAGGAGTTTTAGCTGCTCAAAATGTTTTAAACGATTTGAAAGATCCACTGACAAAACCATTTTTACAGTTTTTACAATTTATTTTGCCCCTTTTTAATAACCTAAATAAGGAAATGCAATCTGAACAGCCCAAAATACATAATTTATATAGTTCGATTAGCTCAAGTTACAAGGTTTTACTAGAATATTTTATAAAAAGAGAAATTATCGAGACACAACCCTTAAAAGTCATTAATTATAGAGACCATGGAAACTTCTTACCACTTGATGAACTTTATTTAGGGGCTAAGATACCTTTGCTAATGTTAGATAGAGATCATAATTTAATTTTAAGAAAAAGATGTTTAGATTTTTTTATAGAAAGTGCAAACCAGATATGCAAGAGATTTGATTTTAATAATGAGGTGTTAATTAATATGAAATTAATTGATCCTGCAAAAATTATTACTGAAAAACCACCTAGTGTGCTTCCCTTGGCAAAACATTTTCCCAATTTAGTCACTGAAAATCAAATTTAGCCACTAGATAATGAATGGCGCTTACTGAGAAGTAGTGAACTTGTAAAATATTTTTCTGGCAATATAAATGCAGAAGAATTTTGGGCAAAAATTAGCAAAATTCAATATGGAGATAACTCCTTTATGTTTCCTCTACTTTCTACTTTTGCATTTAATATGCTGTCACTACCACATTCATCAGCGAATGCAGAACGCATATTTTCACAAGTTAATCTTATGAAAACCACCCATAGAAATCGCCTTTCGAGTGCATCAATAGTGGGTAACTTGCACACTAAAAATTATTTGAAAAGTAACAACCAAACATGCTTTTCTATGGATTTTGGAGAAGATATTTTAAAATATCACAATTCCAATATGTACAATAAACAAAGTGAGGAAGGGCTTACAGACGAAGAGTTGGACTCAGACAACTAAAGGAACAAATAAAATGTACTATTTTAAATATTATATTCTTTTAAAATTTGTTTACATAATAACTATTTATTTGTTCGTTAAGGTTTTTATTTACATGCTTATTTAAGTAAAAATATTTGTTGTATTTTTTTTTAATTAATATCCCATGCACTGTGACATTGCTATTGTGACATATCTGACCTTAAATGTTTTATTGTTCGTTTTGATATAATGCTTCACTTGTGTCCATAACATTTCTATGGGGTTTATTTAGCAGTGATAAAATGGTAAACACAGAACTGCATGTCCTCTTTCCTGTGTCATTTACATAAAGCACTTTTTCATCAAATTCAGATTTTACCTGTGCAACACATTCCAACAAATCTTTTTTTAACATCTTCATATAGTATTTCATTGTTGATCATTCAATGTATAATGTGTTGTTTTCGCCAACTTGTTGCAGGAATGTTTTAAATTTTTCTAGCATAGTATGGTGCATTATCAAGGACGATGACTGAATTTTGTAAAATGTTGAGCAGTAACTGTTCTATAAACCACTTTCCATAAGTATCTGCATCCACTTCATGATGAACATCTACCGAACTTTTCTTACAGACTAATTTAAACTGGTACTCACTCCTTCAATAGAGGCTTGCCGACATTTTTTTATAGTGCCATCCTGCCACGATTTGCTTACACAGTGTTCACCCAAGATTCATCTAAAAAATGCATATTAAAACACAAATATTAAATAACAATAAACCTGGCTACCGTGTTCTCTATGTGTTTGTTTAATAAATATGTATGTCTCCATCTTATTATTATTATTATGTACTCTGGTTCAAACAAAATGGTTTTCCGTTCAACTTTCTTATAAAGCCGGTTATAATTTAAAACCCTATGTAAATCTGTCAAAATGAAAAAAATTTCTTCATTATAGATAGCTTGCAGAGAGGAACAAATTCAAGGCAGGTAAAACATTTTGAATAAAATAATAGTGTATTTTACGTCTAAGGGCTATTTTCTCGAATTGGCTTGATTTTGCAGAGTTTCTTGCCACTTGAAGATTGGCCGCTTTCCATTTCTTGTTTTACAGCATATACGCTGCGTTCTATCTGTGAAACATAAACATAATGCTGTGCTTGCTTCTGCCAGAGCAGCACTTTCATTCATTGATTTTGCAAAATAATTAAAAACACATAATATCAATCATTTATTTTAACAAAACATGTTATTTGAAAGTTTATATGTCAATTGTCAATGATAAAAATTGAATGCCACAAGCCACAATTGACATTTACAGTTCATTAAATATTCCACAGAACACACTTTGACACAGTTGCCTATCTATAAATGTAAAAATATTTCCCCCACTGAATCTACTGAAATCTACTGATTTTTCGAGATGACACCTACTGATAATCAGAAAAATCATCTGGGAACACTGCGCCAGTTCAGTATCGTCACTCGTGTAATAGTAAATAGCGTCCAAATTTAATAAGTGAAATAAAAATGTCGAAAATGCAAGATTCCAATAACATTAAAAAGAAAGTACATTTATTTTGTCCTTTTATTTTAATTTTGCTCAGATTTTTCTACATGAATTGTTATATGAAGAGTTATATAATACTCAGTAAACCGTGATATTGTCGAATCTTTTATTTTTATGAGTTTTGAGTAGTTTTTTGTTTGGTATTGCCATATGGCACCGATGGGCTATAGTGGGCTTTTTATTGTAAATTACTGTAAAATATTTTGTTAGGCCCATATAACACACACACAATGGTGGAAATGGGGTAGTTTTGCTTGTTTTAATAAAATTTTCACATTTTATTTCTACATTCGTTTTAAATTTACTA